GGGGTCTATCTGTCTTTTGTCGTCGTTGGTATAACGGCATATATACAAACCATTTAAGCTCATGTAATTTAGACGAAGGAAAGGAACACAAAAAATCAGAGTGTCACTTTTTATCCAGGAACGTTGTTTTGCTGAATGTGTAAGAGTGCTTTAGCAGTAATTTTCTAAGATGCAAATTATAGCATGATACACCGTATACCATTCTAAAACACACCAAAATGCACACAGTACAGTATGTTTTGAATCTTAAAACCTAAATTTGTCCTCACCAAAAAACTCGGGAGTTCTTCAGTCTTCATTAACTGGCCTGTGAGCCAAAATAATACAAACACACTTAATAAATGGCCTCAGACTCCTGGATGTCTTATCTGACCCCAGGTGAAGTGGCGACTGTGCCGACTCGTCCACTCTTTCACAGCTGAGGATTAATTAGTCCGAGATTAGCTGAAATTACATACGGCCGTCTCTATACTGAGCCGCGGCCAATTTTCCTTATCGTGATAAGAAATCTATTAACTTTATACCCCGTGCTATGTGGAATTATTCCTAAGCGGATGTACTTTACTAGAGTATAAGTAGAGTTGGAGTGTGATATGGCGTTCTTGGGCAGTTTTATTTCAGAAAACGTTCACGCTACCTGGCCTATGTATATTAATAGGATGACTAAGATGATTTGGGTTTTTTGTTGTTTTTTTAAATGTATTTTGTTTGTAGCCTCACGCCTCAAGTTCATGGACACAACAGGAAACGAGTGGTTAGCGAAATGCCCCCCTTTCCACGAAAAAAGACCTTACCGCTTTCAAATGGATTCTTTTTAATTAACGTCTCGCACATGTGGGCAGTGCTGATTATAAATTGTCTTTTTTTTCTCCAAATTCTAGATCGTGTGACATATTTAGTTTTTTTTTCGGGTAAACGGAAGGTTTGACAAGTCAGTCGATCGCTATCAGTGGTATGATTTGTGGGGAAGAGCATTAGTCACTTAATGCTTCCCTTGTAGAGAATCGTTTTGCAAGTTGCACCAGGATTGTTTCAGAGCTTCTTCTGACTTCTTTGTAACATTTTCCGGCAAGAAAGCGTTAAATTAAAGCTCGATGACCAATTACTAATTTCTAATTTCTTAAAAACTCAACTCGTTCATACCTTTCAGAACATGTTTTGCGATACAATTAAATTACCCAGTCTGCTTGTGCGGGTAGTATTTAGAATACATGACTGTCTCACCTCCTCTCTTCCCCCATCACAACCCACATCTCTCTCTCTCTCTCTCTCTCTCTCTCTCTCTC